GCATTCCACCCCTCTGGAATTTTCTTGCTGTCTATTGCTTATAGTACTTCCTTGGTTAGTTCATCACCCAGGATGTGCCAGAATCTCTTAAAGAAAATTGCATGTAGACCATCTGGCCCTGGGGCCTTCATATCACCATTCTGAAATAGAGCTTTGCGCACATCTTCCTTGGTATAGGGAGCAACTAGTAAACCATTCATATCATTAGTTACTACAGACTTTACCGATGCAAGAAGATTAACATCTACCTGTTCTGCACCAGACTGGAAAATATTTTTGAAATAATCTGAGATAAGAGGCCTGCGATTATCATTCCCCTCAACCCATCCATTCTCATTCACACGCAGTTTTTTGATTAGATTTCTCCTTCTAGCTGAGGCAAAATGACTGAAGTATTTGGTGTTTCGATCACCATGACGAAGCCAGTTAACTCTCCCACGTTGTGACCAATAGATTTCATCTTGCTCAAGCAGATTTTCAATCAATACCGACATTTCTTTCTGCTTAACACCCACATCCGGGGTAAAGGGAATATTCATCAATCGTTCCAGCTCTCTTTGGGCCTTTTTTAGTCTCGCGCGAGGCGCCTTGAGAATCCTCCTGTCCCAATCGTGTAGATCGTTATGGACATCAGCCAACTTCTCTGCAGCCGTAGGACAGAGCCCTTGGTTCCCTGCCTTCAGCCAGGCAGTTTTAACTATTTCTTCCACAATTTCCTCCGCGAGCCACCTCGCCTCGAACTTAAGTGGGGCAATTACAGTAGGTTCTGTCACCCCTTCTAGATAATCTGTATCAAGGCAAATCGGCCTATGGTCCGACTTACCCATCTCCAAATTACTGAGTCCAGCTAACGGGTGCATTAACAGCCATGTCTCATTAGAGACAGCTCGGTCCAGTCTCTCTCGCAGCCCTCCACGGAACCATGTAAACTTGTCTCCGTTGAAGCCTAGATCCTCAAGTGAACAATCTATTAGGGCATCCTAGAAGGCCTGGAGGCAAGTCTGGCTTCTGGGAGCCCCACCCTCTTTTTCATCCGAGTAAAGAATCTCGTTGAAGTCCCCTATTACAACCCAAGGCAATCTCGACTGGGCATGCAAATCCCTCAATAGCTGAAAGGTACGGTGTTTACAGCTCCAGCTAGGCTCGCCGTAGATGCCAGTCAGTCTCCACATATCACCATTAGCATTCTCCACCGTCACATCTATGAAATCTAGTGTGCTGGCCCGGAAGTAGATCCTAACCTCCTTCTTCCAGGCCAACAGCAAGCCTCCTTTTCTTCCCTCTAGACTTGGTGCAACCAACATCTCGTCCATCTGCAACTTGATCTTAAGAACTTCAGCCTTGTCATTATCCATATGTGTTTCCGACAGAAAAAACACATCTGGTCTATGCCGCCTCTGGATCTTCAGAAGCGACCGAACTGTCCGGGCACCGAGGATCCCTCGACAATTCCAACTTAGTATTTTCATTGCGGGCAGCGATCCTCCTCGAAGGAGATCGCCGATGAACTGTTTGCTGTACCCGGACTGCAAGGACTCGCCAATGGAACAGCCAGAACTGCAGTAACTAGAACCGGTCGTTGCCAACGAACGCCGGGACAGGAAACCGATCACTGCACCAGGCAGCGTCGGGACAGAAAAGCTTGAGCAACTCCAAGGTTGTCTTCACTCCAATCAACAACCAAATTCCCTTAAGCACCATCACGAAAGCTGTATGCAAACGAAGCAGTGGAACCTCATGGCGTACAAAGCCAAATACACACCAGGCGATCAACTCATGAAGCCTGCACCGGTACGGGACTAGCCGAAACCTAGCAAGGCCGAAACCCTAGCCAAGAACGAGAGACCAGCCACGGCGCCTCCGGCGCCGTCCTGGGAAAGAGACGCCGGCACACGCGCCGCAGCCAAGGAGGCAGCCGACGGCGGCCCGGCAAAACCCTAGTCGCCTGGGTTCTATTCCGCCTGGCCCCTCCTGCTTTTGAGCATGGTTGTTTGTTGCAGCAGATCTTTATTCAATATTTTAGCTTTAGTACGTTTTAAGCATTGAAGGTCATCCTTTCTTAAATTTCAGTAATCATGGCTGGCACATGGGGTCTTTCTTTGTAATTTTGTCTCTCTTAATTTCAATACTTCCTTACCACCTGACTAAAATAGATAGTGAGACAATAATCAAAATTCTTTGAAATTTGTATTTGTGAGCCGTTTTGCATTGGGCCCTGAGAAATCAGGGGGTGGATTCCCATGTTCGGGTTTAATTTCTACTAAATATAGTTGGGTTTGTTTGTGAACAGTGTAATCGCGTGGTCAAATGGGCATCCCTAGGAATCCTATGATGTTAGGATTGTGATTTTGGGATCTTTTAAGGAGGTCCCAATAGCAACCAAATTACCAAAAGATTTAGAGAACCTTCTGAAGAACCACTACACATGGCCGATGAGGCAGAGCATGTCTTCCACCGTCTCTATGCAATTTATTCCTTTCTAAAAACGTCAAAATGGTGGTATGACTCGACCAAGTTTACTTTTACACTTGACTCAACCAAAGTCTTATTCCAATTGAAGTACTAGTTATAAACCTTATCAGGCTTGTCCAAATATAAGGACATGAATTAAACACAAGAAACTTTGGATTCTTACGCAAGGTGAGATGAAATTCTTCTAACCAATGCGTGACTGCCACCAAAAGTTAGTCGGATTTATAAGATGGGGCGGCAAAATGTGCCAAGAGAAGCCAAATGTACAATTTGGAAACGAACCATCTAAATGAAAAGGAAGAACTGACAGATACGCTATGTGTTCCTCTGGGAAAGAAAATATGTTGTGAAGTATAAACCCTGATTTATAGTGATTGATTCAACTATATTAGATCCTGAACTTTCTGAAGTGCTTATCATGACCTGCTATCTTTCCACTGGCACGCGCACAAAAAAAAAAACTGAGCTACAGTTTATGCATAACCATCAACCGAGCAAATGACTATATGTTACATGGAACAATTGCCAGCGCTCCTGCAATTGCTTGTCCTCATGCCAGCCAGACTTGTCTCCCCAATTCAGGGTCGGTAACCAAGCCGTCTGGTCGAGGGCTGTGCTAGTTCGCGTGGCTGTATGCTAGGATAAACGACTCAGATGGCAGCTGATGCACCTCATCGATCCATTCGCTGCATCCACGCACCATAAATAGCACAATGTTTTTGTTGTATCTAAGTTTAACAGGAACAAAGAATCTCACACTACACAGTCGACTCCTTATATCACATTTTCATTATGGTAAGTATGGATATCATAAGTTTTAAAGTGGAAAACCCCGTATGAACTCAGCATGTGGACAACAGAGTGAACCCAAAAAACTCATCTCACTTATAGTGTGATATAAAACATCACATACCATTTGTATGTATGGCAAGTTGGAGCATACGGGCATGCAATGTTTTACCTGTAAACCGACAAATAAGTAAATTTTTGGCAGATAAAAAACAAGGTCAGCCCAGGATATGAACAATGCAGAATCTATACTAGCATGTCTTGTGAAACAGGGCAGGGGCCACATGTGCTTACGAACTTGATTCCAACAGTGTCAATGTTTCAGAAAAAAATCAGGTCATGAATGCATAGTGACAAAACTAGCAAAAACAGACTCTCCACCAATCAATCCGTTCACAGTTCAGGACTGGATTGCAACTGCATTATATTCGAATTAGGCACAGACCCGAGCAGCCAGAAGCCCAGACGGAACTTGTTCCTAGCCATGATATTGGCTGTTCGCCATAGTTTCATGGCACCATACTAGTAATACTACTAACAAATAAGCCTTGCAATACCAAGACCCTTGTTCTTGGTTGGATAATCCCCCTCCCTCCTCTAATCCTCTATTGGTGAATGATGCAACTCTTACAACAAATGAATAAAGAGGTACTTCCTCCGTCCCATAATATAAGAGCGTTTTTGACACTAAACGCTCTTATATTATGGGACGGAGGGAGTACTTTATGAGCTAAAAATAGAAACAGACGTCTGGCTTTATATGCCCTAGGCTACAATATAGATTAAGGCAATTAATGTATCAGATCAAGAAAATAAGGGTAACAAGAAAGCGCCGTGCTTCTTAGAACATAACAGACGTGCAAATACATGGCTGTGTTCATCCACGAAATTTATGATCCCTGTAGCCTGTTAAGAGCCCAAGAGGGAATAATGTGCTAATCTACCTCCAGCCCAGATGCAGGATACAGGATAAGAATCAATGAATCATGAAAGTTCCATGCTGTTTTTGTACAGGTAGCTATGCATCATCTCTCAAGCTACCACAATTCACAGGTCCTATGGTTCGCGAAACTTTTGCCATAAACATAGGAAAATTTGCAACTATTGTTTCCGGGTGGTTCAAGTGGCAGGTCCTTCACAAACTAACATCAGGTCATCTATGCACTTGAAGAAATAAAGTAAATATGAAGAGGCCAAGCAAAATGTCCTATCTGAAGCTACAGAATGTTGAAAAGTAACAGAAATGATACTACCACGTTGCATCTGTAATGAGAATAACGAAACCAGAATAATCTGCAGACTAGAAATGCCTACCAGATAAGATTAAGATTCTGATATTCCACTTGCCCAGTAAACTGTCCTCACCCCACAACTGCAGCACATTAATGGCTCCCACAATGCTTCAACAGCTTTCAGGAGGTACTGGCATAGTGACAGATGATAAGCAGGTAAGACCGGAGGCGATACAATGCATGGCAACTTGTGCAAAATTTGCAAATAGCACATTGCTTAAACTCAACTATTACTCCCTGAATAATTATATCCACGTAACCATCCAAATGATGGTCCGGGAAGGTGAAAATGATCCAAGGCCTATATCAATCTGATTACAACTAGCTAAGTGAGTTTTCTCACCAAATGTAACTGGAGAAGAACTAGAAAAGAAACAAAACGCAGTTAGTCTAATTACAGTGAGAAAAAAGAACTCCCTGGCCAACAATGGTCAGTACAAACAGTAGTTAGCCTGAAAAGTTGGACAACCTTCTCCTCTTTCTGTTCCTCTTCGGAGTCAAATCTCTTTGCACACTGCCGTTGGAATGAGGAAGAAAACGCATGGGGCTTGTGCGCCTAATAGCTGTTCTTCTCCCTCTCTTGTTTGCCCATTGAATTGGCAATTTGCCTGCAACTTGGGCAATACCATCAGATGCAGCAAGCTCAGCCACTTTTTGGATCCTCTCCTGCATTTGCATAACCCATGCTACCGACAGATCGAGTGAGAATGAATCATCCAGTGGTTTTTGCCACAGATCAAGTAGGACGCGCTGAAACGATTGAAATGATAGCGAGGGCTGGAAATCCTTGCGTGGTGCATACATCATGTTAACCTTTATGACGTGCTTACATAGGTTACCCTGCATTGACCACGAACAACTGCACAGAGAGAATTCAGACCCAGCATTCCATACAGTCTGCATTAGACTAGCATCCTTCTGGCTTGCCACCTTGGCTGAAAGAGGTTCTTTCTCATCAAATAGAACAGCCTCATCAGGTATGTGCAGAGCCCTTTGCCATGAAGTGGATGCAATGTACTCTGCTTTCACCTCGGGAAATGGACCGCTCTCATCTGCATATAGGTTGAGCCAGTAGCCAGAATGCAGCTCTGTTGTCAGCTTGTGCACCAACCAATCCACACGTTGAAGAGCATCAAGCTGTGAATCATCATATGCTTTAAGCTTGAGCTTTAGATGGTAACCCTCAATAGCACCACAGGATTCCTGACTTGCCAGGGGCAAATTTCTGATGGTATCAATCCACATCTCTAGATGGGGCAATGGCACACAAGAAACATTATTAGCATCTAGACGAGGATTTGCAATTCAATGTATATTTTGAATCTACTACCTGAGATTCTTACCCAATTTGGGAACCCAAAATGACTTGAAATACTGGATGAAGGTGGTTTGGTCAACAAAGTCTTGAAACAATTGCTCCAGGATATCCATGGGATTTTTCTCACTCCAGATACTGTACATAAATTTTCCTAGTTTTGTAAATATTTCCCGTTGCACCTCAGTATTGCTGCATTTCTTGATTATATTTTTAAGCCATGTTCTCCTTATGTGCCATAAAGAAAATAAAATCGGGCAGGAAAATACATTCCTGAAAAACAATGACATATTTCGTCAACGGCAATGAACTACATTGCAGCATCTACACAGGAAAATTTTACAGTTAGATCATATGTCAAAATCTATGCCATACGCCTATACCTGATTGGGTCCAGCTCTGAGGTTGGATCATCAATTATAAATCCACCAATCCTCCAGTTGGAATCAACAGAATGTATTCTACTAGTAAGTGCTTGCATCCATCTCGAAGTGTCATGCTTGGTAACAGATCGGGTTATAACCCATGCAACAGGCAGAGCCTGTTGTCTTGAATCGAATACAAGAATTGTGTGCAAGGGGTACTGCAGCAAAGAGTAGAATGTCAAAAAATGATGAAACCTACCCCTGTAGACATAACTAGACATCACATACTATAAGATGTTGCATATAAGTATAACCACACAACTATCAGCTTTTGTTGTAGTCAGATACCTTAAGCTTGCTTACACCAAATGAGGAATGAGATGCCAAAATATTCTGGTGACCAAAGCGGATCATCTGCTGCAGTTGCCATTCTGTCTGGATCCCTAGTACAAAGGCATCTGTCTCGGTTGAGTCCTGGTGGAAAAACACAGACTTCTTGTTCCTATCGACCCACATCCTGATGCTAGCTTGGTCATCTAGATCCAGCTCATGCGTAGACCTCTTGATGATCATCCCAAGCTTGTGGACATACTGCGAGGCAAGGTTATCGACCTTTGCATCCGAGCCGCAGTAGCGTTGTATCCCTTCTATATGTGTCTGCAGGATGTTCTCCTCGGGGACACCGAGATAGATCAATGACATGGTCTGCTGCTGAATCTCGCTCCCAACATACGGCACTTTCCTGGCACCAGGACCAATGGCGTCCCGGTCCAGGGGTCCATGACATACAAAACCAGACTTGTTGACATGGCGCCTCTCATGGTAGATAATGAGAGCCAGCGAAGGGCGGGCGTATAACCGCTTGATTGCGAAATGGCAGGTACAACCTCGCATCGACTGCGGCCGAGCTGCACGGTTTCTTGTGTTAAGCCTGTACCTTCTGCTAGGCAAGATCGTCCCTCCCTCCCCGTAATTTTCAGGGCCAAACGAACACCAATACCTGAATCAATTTGGAACAGGACACCCTAATCATTAAGAACCTTGTAATAGCCTTGCTGTGAAAAAAGAATAACTTGCAATGACCGAATAATTGGCATGGTGAGCAGAGGCCTTTCCGAAAAATATTGCGAGCAAAGCAGGGGCAAGCAGGGGAGGTGGCAGCAGGGGGACACGTACATTCTGTAGAGGAGGTAGTCGTCGCTCCTGACCTCCTTGAGGGTGCCCCTTTCGCGCTTGCGGCCGCGCTCGATGTGGAACCTGGTGGGGTATTCGGGGTTGTTGCACTCGCCGCTGATGAAGGCCTCCATCCGGTCGTAGGGGATGAGCGCGACGTCGTCGCAGTGGTGCTCGGAGCTCGCGTACTTGACCCACCTGAGGTCGGCGGCCGAGAACTCCTCCCCGGGAGGGTCCTGCACGGGGAGGTCGCTCACCGACTGCAGCACCCCCGTCACCTCCATCACCTCCCCCATTTTTCGCTTCTCGCCTTCGCCCGCCGCCAGTCGCCGGAGCTGGGATTCGGCGCCGCAAAAACCCTAGAGAGAGAGAAAACGAAGAGGGGGGAAGGAATGGGGACGAAGTAGCGAAGAGCGGAACGAAAGTCCTATTCTCCGCCAGTTGCGGGGAATAGTCAACCGCCGCGTATCCACCTCGACCTAATTGGGCCAGCCCATGTGATACCGGTGTTTTCGTTGTTTTTTTCCTTTTGTTTTTCTTTTCTCTCATCAATCATCAAATTGTCTCAAAACAAATCAATCATCAAATAGACATTTTTTAATCTTTTACACCCAAAAAACATTAATTTTACAAAAGTATATATTTTTTTATTCCTTTTTACCCCTCAAACAATATTTTTTTGGAATAATAACTAGTGAACCATGATTGTCGGAGTTAAGTAAACATTCTCTTGAACACATGATTTTAGTAAATACATGAAATATTTGTTATGGACACTGGTATAAAAACTTTACGTGCAGCGGGAAACAGTTTCTGGTCTACATGAACAAAATTTATGATTTATGCGATCATTTTGATTCTATATATGAGCACTTTGCATGCCAAGTGAAACAAATTTTGCAAATAATATATAATATGAAAAAAATAGAGGCAGATGGAATTTTTTATTTTGATGCCTCACAGAAATTGGAAGATCATAGGAGGTGAGATGATGATATGTATCTGAAATCCTGTAGGAAAAAATATGTCATTTTGTTCATAGGATTTTTTTTCCACGGGGTCTAGGCTAGTGTTTTTGTCCCTTCGGAATAGAAATGATCTGTTCCTATGAATAGGAAGGGCTCCAAAAGAAAAAAAACATAAAATTCTTATCTTTATATAGGCAATGCTACGTGTTCATTGGTGGATAGGAAAAAATCGGCCACCTCCGTGGCCATCCGATTGACACGAAAATAGCCGTCGAATCTCCCCAAACATGTGCGTCATGGATGGCAACAAGCTCGTTGGTGCGATATTCACTCTGCAGCAACAACTTCATTGCAAAACCACCCATAGCGTTTTTTTAGCTTGAAGCGTTATTTTCTTAAGCGTTCTTTATTGCAACAAATGTCATGTTGCAGAAAAATAATTGCAGTAGTGGTAGTGTTGCAATATTTTTTTCCTGTCTTTTACCTTTTTCGCAACATAGATGGTGTCGTGGAAGGATTTTGCAACAAGGATGATGTTGCGGATTTTTTTTCAAATTATATACACAAGTATGTTTGCAACATGGCTTGTGTTACAAACTTGTGTTTGCAACACGCCCAATGTCACAAACTTGTTGATCCATCTTGTGGCCATGGAGATGACGGAGACGCGAAACTCATGGAATATTGAGCATCTTCGTAAGTTCTACCCGTAAGGCGCAGTTGCTGGGCCCTGCCCCGGCAACCTATTTTGTACAAGCATAGTCCCCAGTGAAGGAAATATGCCCTAGAGGCACTAATAAAGTTGTTATTTATATTTTCTTATATCATGATAAATGTTTATTATTCATGCTAGAATTGTATTAATCGGAAACTTAGTACATGTGTGAATACATAGACAAACAGAGTGTCACTAGTTTGCCTCTACTTGACTAGCTCGTTGAATCAATGATGGTTATGTTTCCTAACCATAGACATGAGTTGTCATTTGATTAATGGGATCACATCATTAAAGAATGATGTGATTGACTTGACCCATCCATTAGCTTAACATGATGATCGTTTAGTTTGTTACTATTGCTTTCTCCATAACTATACATGTTCCTATGACTATGAGATCATGCAACTCCCGAATACCGGAGGAACACTTTGTGTGTTACCAAATGTCACAACGTAACTGGGTGATTGTAAAGGTGCTCTACAGGTGTCTTCGATGGTGTTTGTTGAGTTAGCATGGATCAAGATTGGGATTTGTCACTTCGATTGTCGGAGAGGTATCTCTAGGCCCTCTCGGTAATATACATCACTATAAGCCTTGCAAGCAATGTTGCTAATGAGTTAGTTACGGGATATAGCATTACGGAATAGTAAAGAGATTGCCGATAACAAGATTGAACTAGGTATTAAGATACCAACGATCGAATCTCGGGCAAGTTACATACCGATGACAAAGGGAACAACGTATATCGTTATGCGGTTTGACCGATAAAGATCTTTGTAGAATATGTAAGAACCAATATGAGCATCCAGGTTCCGCTATTGGTTATTGACCGGAGACATGTCTCGGTCATGTCTACATAGTTCTCGAACCCGTAGGGTCCGCACGCTTAACGTTCGGTGACGATCGGTATTATGAGTTTATGTGTTTTGATGTATCGAAGGTAGTTCGGAGTCCCGGATTTGATTACGGACATGACGATGAGTCTCAAAATGGTCGAGACATAAAGATCGATATATTGGACGACTATGTTTGGACATAGGAAGGGTTCCGAGTGAAGTTCGGGCATATACCGGAGTACCGGGGGGTTACCGGAACCCCCCGGGGAGTTTAATGGGCCTTATGGGCCTTAGTGGAAAGAGAGGAGGGGCTGCCAGGGCAGGCCACGCGCCCCCTCCCCCTTTGGTCCGAATTGGACTAGGAAGGGGGGTGGCGCCCACCTTTCCTTCTCTCTCTTTCCTCCTTCCTTCTCCTACTCCTACTACATGGAAAGGGGGGGATCCTACTCCCGGTGGGAGTAGGACTCCCCATGGGGCGCGTCATAGGAGGGTCGGCCCTCCCCCTCCTCCACTCCTTTATATACGGGGGAGGGGGCACCCCATAGACACATAAGTTGATCATTGATCTTCAGTCGTGTGCGGTGCCCCCCTCCATCATAATCCACCTCGGTAATATCGTAGCGGTGCTTAGGCGAAGCCCTGTTCCGATAGCAACATCATCACCGTCGGATTCAATGAATAGGGTTATTTATGAAGATCAAAAAGCAATCACTATACCGTGTTGTGGTTTTTGATGCGTAGGTAAGAACGGTTCTTGCTCAGCCCGTAGCAGCCACGTAAAACTTGCAACAACAAAGTAGAGGATGTCTAACTTGTTTTTGCAGGGCTTGTTGTGATGTGATATGGTCAAGACGTGATGAGATATAAGTTGTTGTATGAGATGATCATGTTTTTGTTGAAGTTATCAGCAACTGGCAGAAGCCTTATGGTTGTCTCTTTGTTGCATAAGATGCAAGCGCCAAATAATTGCTTTACTTTATCGCTATGCGATAGCAATAGTTGCAAAGAGCAATAGTTGGCGAGACTACCATGTGATGACATGTTGATAGAGATCAAGATGATGGAGATCATGGTGTCATGCCGGTGACGATAGAGATCATGACGGTACTTTGGAGATGGAGATCAAGGTGCAAGATGATCATGGCCATATCATGTCACATATTTTGATTGCATGTGATCTTTATCCTTTATGCATCTTATTTTGCTTAGTTCGGTGGTAGCATTATAAGATGACCTCTCACTAAATTTCAAGGTATAAGTGTTCTCCCTGAGTATGCACCGTTGCGATAGTTCGTCGTGCTGAGACACCACGTGATGATCGGGTGTGATAAGCTCTATGTTCACATACAACGGGTGCAAGCCAGTTTTGCACACGCGAAATACTTGGGTTAAACTTGACGAGCCTAGCATATGCAGATATGGCCTCGGAACACTTGAGACCGAAAGGTCGAGAGTGAATCATATAGTAGATATGATCAACATAGTGATGTTCACCATTGAAAACTACTCCATCTCACGTGATGATCGGACATGGTTTAGTTGATTTGGATCACGTGATCATTTAGATGACTAGAGGGATGTCTATCTAAGTGGGAGTTCTTAAGCAATATGATTAATTGAACTTTAATTTATCATGAATTTAGTCCTAATAGTATTTGCATAACTATGTTGTAGATCAATAGCTCGCGATGTAGCTCCCCGTTTATTTTTGATATATTCCTAGAGAAAAAGTATGTTGAAAGATGATAGTAGCAGTGATGTGGACTAGGTCCATGATCTGAGGATTATCCTCATTGTTGCACAGAAGAATTATGTCCTTGATGCACCGCTAGGTGACAGACCTATTGCAGGAGCAGATGTAGACGTTATGAATGTTTGACAAGCTCGGTATGATGACTACTTGATAGTTTAGTGCACCATGCTTTACAGCTTATAACCGGGACTTCAAAAATGTTTTGAACACCATGGAGCATATAAGATGTTCCAAGAGTTGAAATTGGTATCTCATACTCATGCCCGTGTCTAGAGGTATGAGACCTCTGACAGTACTTTGCCTACAAGATGGAGGAGAATAGCTCAACGAGTGAGCATGTGCTCAGAATGTCTAAGTACTACAATCACTTGAATCAAGTGGGAGTTAATCTTCCTGATGAGATAGTGATTGACAGAGTTCTCTAGTCACTATCACCAAGTTACTAGAATTTCTTGATGAACTATAATATGCAAGGGATAACGGAAACGATAACCAAAGCTCTTAGCGATGCTGAAATCGGCGAAGGTAGAAATCAAGAAAAAGCATCAAGTGTTGATGGTTGACAAGACCACTATTTTCAAGTAAAAGGGCAAGGGAAAGAAAGGAAACTTCAAGAAGAATGACAAGCAAGTTGCCACTCCCATGAAGAAGCCCAAAGCTAGACCCAAGCCTGAAATTGAGTGCTTCTACTACAAAAAAGAGAGAAAAGAGGCCAAAAAAAAGAAGGCCCAAATAAAAAATGAGAGAAAAAGAGAGAAGGGACAATGTTACTATCCTTTTTCCACACTTGTTCTTCAAAGTAGCACCATGTTCTTCATATAGAGAGTCTCCTATGATATCACTTCATATACTAGTGGGAATTTTTCATTATAGAACTTGGCTTGTATATTCCAATGACGGGCTTCCTCAAAATGCCCTAGTTCTTCATGAGCAAGCAAGTTGGATGCACACCCACTTAGTTTCTTTTGTTGAGCTTTCATATACTTATAACTCTAGTGCATCCGTTGCATGGCAATCCCTA